AGGGTGTCGATGAAGGGGCCCTGGGACACACAAATAAATACACACAAATAAAAGGATTCCCAATATTGTCTCATATTCTCTGGGTTTCTGTCTCCCCCCCACTTCCCATATTTTCCTATATTTTCCTGGGGAATCGACGATTAATTGTGTCTGTGGTTTTTTTCCCTCCTGAGTCGAAGTCGACGGGTGGGTCCCCCGAGAGGGTAAGGATCGCAGCTGCCCCAAATGGGGCCGGTCTGAGCGAGAGAGGTACGCCACTTTGGAACAAACGCGCAAGGAAAGTCGGTGTGCCCAAGCAGCCATGCAAAACACCTCGCGTCCTCACAAAACTCCTGGTCCACGATTTCTGCATCGAAGGGCCTGGCTCGGGCCCCAGATCGCCCAAACCCGTGACAGGTTCGTGCCGCGACGACCCTCGACGTCGGCTTCTGACACCGCGCAAATCGTTCAACACTGAACGGTCGGCAGCTTCTCGATCGTCGGATCGTTCCCCTTTGGTGAGCGACTCTGGGCTACAAGCGACGTTCAACCGCCCGCGGGGGGTCGCCGCCCGCGGTGGGCTCACCGCCGCGTCGACCCGACACAAGCCGACCGCACTCCAGACAAGAGGCCGCTCCCCAGGAGAGCCCACAATCGAATCGACGAGTCGGATCGGAGATCGAAGCCGACCAGATCGTCGGAAAATCGGCAGCCGAGGTGGGAAAAGTCCAATCGGCGGAAATCGGCAGGCTGGCTTGGCATCCGCGAAGAGATCGAATTCGAATCGGAAAAGTCGAATCGAATCGGAATCGGATTCGATCGAATTCGATCGAATTCGAGTCGGGGGAATCGAAATGAGCCATGGGTCACGCGGAAGTGGCCGCGAGCCACGAGGACCTCTCCTGAAACGCATGTCGACGTCGGGCGTCTTAAGGGGTCCCAGGCCACCCAGCGTCGTGCCTCGCGCCGCGCGGCCACCTCCGCGCTCTCGCGTCGCACTCCAACATCAACCAACATCGAACCCAGAAATTCGAACCGAATCAGCAGGCGCGCTGGATCGGCATGCGTCGGCACGGGCTCGAACGAGACGCGGAAGGGACACACTGGTACTATGCACCACCCTTGGCGGCGCAAACCTGGACAGATCATACGGTGCAAACGTGTCACCGGAAGCTGAGGAGGAGGAGGAGGAGGAGGAGGAGGAGGAGGAGGAGGAGGAGGAGGAGGAGGAGGAGGAGGAGGAGGAGGAGGAGGAGGAGGAGGAGGAGGAGGAGGAGGATGGGGGGTGCGTGAGACAGAGACCCCCCCCACCAAGAGTCTCCGGCTTCGTGCTGGCGTCGCGCGTGCGGGCGAAAACGAAGCTGCGTAAAATCAGAACAAAAGATTCGTCTCCCATCGGTGGATTTGCGCCGAAAGCAAGAGGGAACTTCAAAACTGAAGGCCCCCTGAAAGTATGGTGCAGTCGCATTGCAACCACGACGGGACGGAGGAGACGTCTGTGAGCGACGCCTTCGGCTACGAATGTGTCGATCTACGTTGACCTCTTGCAAAAAAAAAAAAAACATGATTCCTGTCGCGCAGAACTCGCCATCGCTCGGACGTCCATTCCCTTTTTTTTTTTTTTTTTTTTTTTTGTTTTGTTTTTTTTGGTCAGTTTCGTGCGTCTTTGTTTCGCAAAATGATCAAGGATGCTCCTCGATGGTCCCCGCCGGAGGAAACATGCACACGTCCGAGCGAGGCCAAGGGCTAAGAAACCCTACTTTATCCGACACGGCGAACAATAGTGGGAAACTAATCGGTGGCCCGCGACGCGGGCGCGGACGACGAGGAGGAACGAGACGAGGAGGGCGAGGAGGAGGAGGAGAGAAGTAGGAGGAGGAGGAGAAGAGGGAGGAGAAGGAAGAGGAGGATGAAGAAGAGCAGGAGGAGGAGAGGAGGAGGAGGAGGAAGGAGGAGGGGGAGGAGGAGGAGGAGGAGGAGGAGGAGGAGGAGGGAGGAGGAGGAGGAGGAGGGGAGGAGGAGGAGGAGGAGGAGGAGGAGGAGGAGGAGGAGGAGGAGGACCATGCTGGCCACACCTCCGAGGCCGCGAGGCGCGCGCAACGGTGGCGACAGCGAGCCTGCCGCCCGACCCCGGGCGTGTCCTGGGCGACGAGGCGGAGAGACTCCCGAGGCGCACGCGGCCAAAACGTCGACCGCCGCGTGGCTACCAGCGGCGGCAGCGCGCTCCGCGCGCCGCCGCGGGTCCCCCGGCCTCGCCCCGGCGGGGGGGGGGGGGCGAGCCGCCGCGGGAGCTGCGAAAGGAGAGGAGAGGAGACGAGGGGGGGAGGAGAGAGGGGGAGGAGAGGAAACGAGAGGGGGAGGAGAGGGGAGGAGAGGGGACGAGACGAGGAGGGAGACGCCCCAGGGGGAGGAGACGAGGCGGGAGGAGAGGAGACGAGAGGGGGAGGAGGGAGGAGGCGGGAAGGGGCACGGCCCCACGGCAGCCTACCCCCCCTCCCCTGGGGTAGGCGCGAGGAGGAGAGGGAGGCGGAGGAGGAGCAGGTGCAGGAGCAGGAGCAGGAGCAGAGAGCAGGAATGGCGAGCTTGGTCCACGCCGTCTGCAACATGGGGGGGGCTCAACGCTCAAGACTTCCTGAGGTTAGATCTGAGGAAGAGCCCGGAAACCAGAGGCCCTTTCTGAAGAGCCAAAAGGTGCCGATACCACTACTCTCTGGACCTCTGCCTTGGTGCGTTCTGACTCGAGTGTGAAGCGAATCCGGCCGTGGCGACGAGGGCCTCCCAGGAAGCCCAAGGCAGCGAAAACGAGGCAGGGGCAGCGGTATCGGTACCTCGTCCTCCGTCGCTCGAACACCAGCGCCTCCCCTTAAGCCCCAAATGGTCCTTACTCCAACGTCTTGACTGCGATAGGGAAAAAACAAACCTACCTCGCTTTTGACCACCCTCGCTTCCAAGAGATACCAAACGATGCCAAATTGCAGCCTGTACTGGTCAGGCCGCTTGACGAGGAGGCGCGTGGTATGGCTTGGTGTTGCCTGGAAGCGAAAGCGGGGTAGGTAATTCACGCTCTGGTGTGAGCGTGGAGCGGCGCTGGACCCCCTCGCGCCGGGCGCGCGGAGCGCGCGCTATTGGGCGGCGTCGCAGGCGCCGCCAGGGGGCGTCCGACGCCGATGCGAGAAAGCCGCGCGGCGCTCCGCGAGTGCAGGCGTTTTTGCAGCGTCCTGGCGGTCAGGCGCCAAGAGAAGTCGGGGGCTGCTATGGGCGCCCCTGGCCCACGGCGCCCCTGGCTTTTTTCGCTCCTTCTTGGAGCTCCCGGGGCCCTCGGGGCCTCAAGAAGGGGGTTCTCTGGAGGCCGTGGGGGCCCGCCTGGAAATCCTGGGGGCCACCTCGGGCCAGGGCCACTGCTGACAAGACCCGACTTGACAACACGAGGGATTGAGCAGGGACCGACAGCCCCGGCATTCCTGTAGGCCTACCACGATATGTTATCGGAGCCCAGCGATGTTGTTCTTGGAACAGGAACCCGATATTTTAAACCGAGGCAGTCCCAGCCAGAAATGTTATGCGAACGTGTCGTAAAAAACCGCAGAAGGTTCTTAGAACATTCTGTGGTGGGCCTATAGTTAAGAAGGCGTACGACTCGGGCACAGGGGACTCGGGTTGGCTTGACGGAGCCATCATGAAAATGACGAGACCAAATCTTAACTTCGACGCGAGCTTCCGCTGCAAGCATCCCACGAAGACTGGACCGTCAAAAAGCGTCGGCAAACACGAGTTCTGGCGTACTCGGGGAAGGGGGGGAGGGGGGGAAGGGTGGGTCTGGCTCCGGACCTCTGCTTGGTGCGGCTTTTTGCAACAGAGCGGCCCATGGGGGAGACTCCACCTGCCTGAGACAGGCGCCCAAAACCGCCAAGATCTACTCCACGGGGGGGGGGAAGGGGGGCGGGGCGGGGTGCGAGGGCCCGCGCCGATCGGCAAGACAATGAATAAGCAAATGATCACCAAGCCTGGGGAAACCAAAAGGTACCGATACCGCTACTCCTCGGACCTCTCCTGGGATGCGTTCTGACCAGAATTTCGAGGCGACTCCAGCGGTGGCGACGAAGGCCTCCCAGGAGGCCCAGAAAGGGGCAAACGGGAAAAGGCAGGGGTACCCAATCGGTCGGAAGAAGTAGGTAGAAACATGAACGTCTAGGCGTTGAAAGTGGATTGGGTGTCCGCCCGCCCTCGAAAGAGGACAGAAAAGGTGATGCCACTCGATCGTTGAAGTAGGAAGGCGCTTCAAGTATATTGGAATCTGGGACTCAAATAATACCTACTTACGACGACCGATGAGTATGGGCACTCTCTCCTCCTCTGAGCTTGGCCACCGCTTGAAGGGAAGCGCCTGGACCAAGTTGGCGGTGCACACAAGGGAGGAGGAGGAGGAGGAGGAGGAGGAGGAGGAGGAGGAGGAGGAGGAGGAGGAGGAGGAGGGAGGAGGAGGAGAGGAGGAGGAGGGGGAGGAGGAGGAGGAGGGGGAGGAGGAGGAGGGAGGAGGAGGCGGAGGAGGAGGAGGGAGGAGGAGGAGGAGGAGGAGGAGGAGGAGGAGGGGGAGGAGGGGAGGGCTTCTTAGAAATTTCCCTGCTTCTTCGAGGGCGCTCGCCCTGCATGTACAGATAAGAGGCTCGCGCCTTCTAAGAGGCAGGGGCGCTCTTAAGAAGCCCTCCCCCCTCCCCTCACCCCCCTCTGCGCGCGGCGGCCCACATGAAGGGGCCCTGGGACACACAAGTAAATACACAAATAAAAGGATTCCCCATATTTTCCCCATATTCTCTGGGTTTTTGTCTTCCCCCCCACTTCCCATATTTTCCTATATTTTCCTGGGGATCGACGATTAATTGTGTCTGTGTGCCTGTGTGTGTTTTTCCCCTCCTGACCAAAGGCGGCGCGGCCTGGCCCGCCCCCGAGGCCGAGCATGCTCGCCACCCCGCCGACCAGGCCGGCCTCCCGCCGCGCGGGGCCGTCGAAGGGCGGCGGCGCGCCTGGGCGGGGGGGGGGCGATGAGGTCGGGCAGGTCCCCCATGCAGAGGGGGATTTTTCGGACGAAACATAAAAGTAGTTAAACACTAGTCCAGAAGTGATTGCAAACATGGAAGAACAAATCGCAAATAGATGACACATCGTCCCCAGACTATCTTTTGAATGCTGTTGGACATTCCTCCTGTAGAGGGCATGTCCCCCATACAGAGGGGGATTTTCCGGGCGAGAAATAAAAGTACAGTCGGGGCCTTGACCGAAGGAGCCCAAAATAAGGAACGAGGCCCCTTTTTTTCCATAAGTTCAACTTCGATCTCCGGTCGAAAACATCAGGAAAGCCTGAGGCAAACTGCGAAACACTTAAGGAACGCGGAGCCCCCTACAGAGAGGATTTTCCGGAGGAAAAATTAAAGTAGTCAAGCACTAGTCCAGAAGTGATTGTAAACATGGAAGAACAATTAAGACTACGCTACCGAGGAACCCCACACACTTATATTGTGGCTGGGGTCATGATAGCTGAAGTGAAGCATGTGAGAATGATGTTAATGGCCGTTGCCCCGCCGATACCGCAAGGACGACACTAGTCCAGAAGTGATTTTAAAAATGGAAGAAAAATCACTACAGTCGGGGCCTTGACCTAAGGAGCCCAACATAAGGAACGAGGCCCCTCTTTTCCATAAGTTAAACTTCGATTTCCGATCGGAAACATCAGGAAAGCCTGCGGCAAGCTGCGAAACACTCAAGGAACGCGGAGCCCCTCCCCAACGAAAAGGGTTCCTTCTTCAGGGCCCCGACTGTAGTTAAACACTAGTCCAGAAGTGATAAAAAAGGAAGAACAAATCGCAAACAGTTGACACATCGTCCCCAGACTATTTTGTTGAATGCTTTTGAACATTCCTCCTGTAGAGGGACAGGCCCGACTGAAATCTAAACACCACCACCGTGTAAAGCGAGGGCCATCCTGACCCTGGCATGGTGTATACGCCCTCCTGGCCGAGGCCAGGAGGGTCTATACACCAGGGCTGGACCTAAACGTTGTTTGTCGTTATGTTCTCGCTCTGCTACCCTTTTTGCTCTACCTGTTTTCCTGTAGCTCCCTGCCACAACGAAAAACAAAACACAGCCGAAGTCCAGCAAAACAGCGTTTAGGTCCAGCCCTGCTATATACCATTCTAGGGCCCAGGATGGCCCTGGCCTGGCACGGTGGTGGTTTATGGATGCCTTCGTCGGAGGGGGGTAGCGAGCAGGAGATCGGCAGCAGAAGTTTTGACGCTAGACCAACCAGAGGCGGCAGCCTCGACTACAGGAACTCCCCGTCCTCCTCCTCCTCCTCCTACTCATCCTCCTCCTTCTCCTCCTCCTCCGTTTGCCCTTCCTCCGTCTCCTCCTCCTCCTCCTCCTCCTCCTCCGTTTGCCCTTCCTCCATCTTCTCCTCCTCCTCCTCCACCTCCTCCTCCTCCATCTCCTCCTCCTCCTCCTCCTCTCCCCCTCCTCGTCCTCCTCGTGCTCCCTCGCCGAACCCCGGTGCGAAAGAGAACAAGCACATCCGGCTAGATCGTGCAAGGCCAAGGCGGGGGGGCTCGAGCAGGGGATCGACTACAACATTGCGGGAGGAAGACCGGCGACAGTGGCCAGGGCTGAACGCGGAAATGTACAGCCATCGGCCTGACCTAAGGAACGAGAGATAAGAAACGAAGCCCCTTCGTTTTCCAAGGAACAATGCGTAAGGAGCGATAAACAAGGAACACCGCATACGGGAATATGGATAACGCATGCAAGCCTAGGGAACGACCGAACCCCTGTGGGGGGCGACGAACACATAGTATTCGTATATTGGGGTGACGCAGATGATTTCCTCGTCGAACCTACAAATAAGGACGTAGCTTTGTTCATGGATTCGATTGAAAAACCAGCTTGCTTGGGGGTAAATCGATTATGTAGTCGATCCACTACCCGAGAGTGCCCCACGCGACCTCGTCGCCGCCGCCGCCGTCGCAGTCACCGGTGCCGCCGTCGCTCCGAGGAGGGACAGGGTACTGTTATGGCTGCTCGTCCTGAAGACCCCTCGTCGCCGCGGCTGGCTTCTCCCCGAAACTCTGGTAAGAATGCACACCGTGAGACATCCGGGGAGTGCAGCCACCGTGCTACCACAAGGAGCGCCGAATCGGGAGCGACTGGATTGCTCTGGCCACGGCGGACTCGGCAACGAACACACGCTCGCCGACCCAGGCCTGTGGACCGGTCGGAAGACTCGAGCCCCTCCGAACCTGAGGTGATTCCTAATTATTTCAGCGTCTTGGCTGTAGTCGGTATCGTCGTCCGCCGCCCGAGAAGGGACCTGCGAGGATGGAGGAGGGGTGTGAGGCGGGATCACGCCTTTCTGGTTCAATGATTCTTGGGATCTGCTGTTTTTTGGGTGAGGGGAATTCGGGGGTAGAGAGGGGAGGACGGAATGCGGGGTGTCTTGACCTGTCCTGCTCCATTGTGGCGCAACCGATTCCAGGAGAAGGGTGAGGAGAACAAAAAGGAGGAGAGGACTAAAGGATGACGAGGCAGACGGTAAAGAGAACAGCGAGGACGAATCGTAGGATGCGCAAGGGAAGTGGAGGGGATGATGTGTGAGGAGTGCATAAGCATTGAGAGGTGGGCTCGCTGCCCTACTTCTCCCCCCTCTCCCGGAGGAGCGGGCGGCCGACAGATTTGCCTGTTTCCTTGTTCCTCCTCCTCCTCGTCCTCGTCCTCGTCCTCCTCCTCCTCCTCCTCCTCGTCCTCGTCGTCCTCCTCCTCCTGCATCTCATCGTATTCTCACGTGGCCGCTCGCTGACCGCGTCCGCACAGAAACCTAGCCTTGGGCCTGGATCCTTGAGCCCCACAGTGGGCCGCAAACGCTGCTCGGCTGAGGGCTGGGACGATGGTTCACTGCGGATATTCTCTAATGTTAGGGCGGGCATGTCCTCCTTCAGGTGGATTTTAGACATAGTTGAACATAGTCAGCAAAGCGTCCCCAGACTATTTTCCCCACATCCAAAGTCGGGTTCTTGTTTTCTCTGGACACCCCGCGCAGGAACACACATGAACACACACTCACTCACACTCACATTCACTCACACACGGACCATCTTGATCACCTTGACCATCACTCGATCACACACTCACTCATCATCTGCATCATCCTCATCATCATCACTCGTTCAATCATTCACTCACTCAATCACCCACTCATTCGCTAGCTTGAAAATTTGGGAAGTATCAGGCGGAAGCCTGGTCTGTGAGTGACTTGCGAGGAGTCTCAAGCGGGAGCCCCCTCCCTATGGGGCCCGCACTCAATGTTGTTAATCCGAGCGGGTCATCCTCAACCACTTAACTGTCGTCACTTTGGGGCTCCCGAGGCCTGAATATGGAGGAAGTATCAGACGGAGAGCCTCGTGTGTAATTGAACTGCGAGGAAATCTCAGGCGGGAGCGCCCCCCCCCCCCCCCCCCCGGTGGGGCCCGCACTCCATGTTTTTAATCCGAGCGGGTCATCCTCAACCCTGTAACTGTCGTCGCCTTGGGGCTCCAGGCGGGGAACCTCGTCTGTGAGCGTGGCGCGCTCCGCGCGCCAGGCAGGGGCCCCACCGGCTCCAGACTCGAGCGAACAGCTGGCACCTTGGGCCAGGGGCACCTTCAGCCAACACAACGTTTCAATGTTCCTTTTTGACTATCTACAGGACCACCCCAACCCCGCCTCTGCTGCAGGCTCTGCGGGCCGGCCACCCGCGGCTCCGCCAACGGATGTCTCGCTGCGGGGCCCCGTGCGCCCTCCTGCGCAATGTCGGCACCCTCCCGGGGGCCGCACAGACCTGGGCCAGTGCACGTTCGGGCGGGTGGTCATGGGGACTGGAGCAGGGTGCCCCTCGAAATCGCCTGTTCCCCCCCCCCCCTCCCCCGCGGACCACATTGTAATATCATGAAGAACTATTGCACACGCCGCTTTCTCTAGTCTAGCACTACTGGCATGAAACTATCCGCTGGGCTATCTGGAAGACTTGCACCGACGGTTGTTCGTTGGGAAATGCTGCGCTCTTCTGGCCTGGTCACACATCCGCTGCCTGCGCTTGTACTGTACATGATGGAAGAGCGGGCTCACCTGCTTTGACTGCTCGTGGCCGGTCAAAATCCATTATAACTCCACGACCATCTGACCCGCTAGTCCAACATCAGAACACACGGGCACAAGGGCTTCAATATCTGGCACCGCAAGACACGATTCAAAACATGATTCCGAAATTTCCCTGTACCCCTGTACCACGCGAACAATGGCCTTCATTGCCGCCGACTCAACGGCACAACTCAACACGAACCGATGTTTTACCAGCTCGCAATACGCACCGACCGTCTCGTGGCTCTTACGACTTGCATCGGGCTCCCAAACGTGTGTTCAGCTGGGACCCGCAACAGAGCTGTCGACAAGTCCTCTCTGCAACACCCGCCGCTGGTACGCGCTTTCGTCTGAATGCACGGAAAGCTGCAATGTGTTAGGTGACGGCACTATGATACTATGGTCTATCCTTGTCCCTGGTAAGAAGCGCTGTAAGCTGCCCCGCACGTTAGACAGGAAATCTCGCCTCCTTCATTCAATGTTCTGTAGTGTCCTCGTTTTAAAATCCAGACTGAAGAACGTTCCGTCATATCCCTGTGTTAGTTCAGTCGCATCCGAATGCTCTTTGGAATCCGACATACAATGGCCAACGATATCGAACACAATCCAACGTCACATCCTGGTGGATGTTAGTGGCAACGCTCTCTTGCAGCCAACGCTCGACATCGTTCAACACACGTGCAGTTGACATGTCACCAGCGACATCCTGCCAGTGTCAGAATTTCCTCTCAGGAGGTTTGTGTCTGAGATGCAAGCTCCTGTTTGTATACATGTCGCGGCGGGCATCAGCGCCCTGACCACTTTAGGATGTTGGAGCTAACCCAATGCCGCCCACTCCATGATCTGCCCCTTGGTGTTGGCAGGC